GTAGTGGAAAGACAACCACTATCATGCCTTAATACTAGAGAAACTGATCATAGTTTGTTTAAGCAGACAGTAAGTTACAGTAAAGTTATAATCTGGGGATTTTGTAGGTTGTGTATATCAATAGTAAATATTTAAGTTAAAATATTGGAATATAATATTGAGCATTGGTGAAAGTAGTTTACAATATGAGAATGTTACAATATGGTGTAAGGCAGTATAGTTTTGTGCAGGTATTTATTCTGTAGTGTAGTATTAAGTTATGTATGAATTTTGGGTATTTAAATTTTGAAATGTTAAGATTTAGGTAATTGGGAGGTTTTTTGGTAAATTTAAGTTTTGAGTATTGAAGATTTAGTTTAGGGTGAGTAAATGGTTTTTGAGAAGAGTCTTAAATTGATGTTCAGACCAGGTTACTTTAGTACTTACTGGTAATGAGTTCCAAATTTTGGGGCCCTTTATATGCATAGACTTCTTACATAGTATGATGTGGACATGTGGTACATCGAAAAGTGATCTATGTCTTGTGTTATGGTCGTATGTCCTATTAAGGTTGGTGAGGAGAAGTTTGAGTGAAGGGTTTATGTTTGAGTGTAGTGTTCTATGTATGTAGTAGGTGCAAGAATAAGTATGGATGTTCTTTACAGTGAGTAGTTTTAGATCTCTGAATATTCGTGGAGTATGCTGTCTGGGGTGGGAATTTGTTATCATTCAGACTGCAGCCTTTTGCTGGGTTATTAGTAGTCTGAGGTGATTTAATGTTGATCCCCATGCACAAATTCCATAGGTGAGATAAGGGTATATGAGCGAGTAATACAGTGCTAATTGTGGAACATAGTACTGTATCTTTGATAGTATGCCTACTGTCTTAGAGATTTTCTTGGAAATTTGTTGTAGTATATGGGTCTGGAATTTAAGGCTACTGTCAAGGTGAATTCCTTAGAATTTTCCCTCTATGCATCTTGTGATGGGTGATCTGTTCAGCACTATGTTAAGTGGAACATTTGTGGCTCTGTTTCCAAACTGAATGAAATAGGTTTGGTCAGTACTGAGTGTAAGCTTGTTAGTCATCATCCAGGTAGATATTTTCTGCAATTCAGCATTAACAGTGTTAGCCAGTATGACTGGGTTTGGGTGAGAGAAGACGTATGTTATGTCATCTGCAAATAATATGGGTTTGAGTAGTTGAGATGCAATCGGTAGGTCATTGATGTAAATGAGAAAGAGGAGAGGGCCAAGGACACTTCCTTGTGGGGCCCCAACTGTAACTGGTCATGTGGAAGAGTTAGCTCCATTTGTGTACACATAATGGCTTCTGTTACTAAGGTATTACTTCAGGTAGTTAAGGGAGTGCCCTCTTATACCATAGTGTTAATTTAATGTGCAGCAAATCATGGTCAACTGTATCAAAGGCTTTATGTAAATCAATAAAGATTCCCAGCGGGACTTCTTTCTTCTCAAGAGCAGTGTATATTAGTTCTAGCATGTGTAATTGTGGTAGGGGACCTGAATGCTAAAGTAGGAGAAACTTTTAGAGAGGGTGTGGTAGGTAAGTTTGGGGTGCCAGGTGTAAATGATAATGGGAGCCCATTGATTGAACTTTGTATAGAAAGGGGTTTAGTTATAGGTAATACATATTTTAGGAAAAAGAGGATAAATAAGTATACAAGATATGATGTAGGGCAAAATGACAGTAGTTTGTTGGATTATGTATTGGTAGATAAAAGACTGTTGAGTAGACTTCAGGATGTACATGTTTATAGAGGGGCCACAGATATATCGGATCACTTTTTAGTTGTAGCTACACTGAGAGTAAAAGGTAGATGGGATACAAGGAGAATAGAAGCATCAGGGAAGAGAGAGGTGAAGGTTTATAAACCAAAAGAGGAGGCAGTTAGGGTAAGATATAAACAGCTATTGGAGGATAGATGGGCTAATGAGAGCATAGGCAATGGGGGTCGAAGAGGTATGGGGTAGGTTTAAAAATGTAGTGTTCGAGTGTTCAGCAGAAGTTTGTGGTTACAGGAAGGTGGGTGCGGGAGGAAAGAGGAGCGATTGGTGGAATGATGATGTAAAGAGAGTAGTAAGGGAGAAAAAGTTTAGCATATGAGAAGTTTTTACAAAGTAGAAGTGATGCAAGGAGGGAAGAGTATATGGAGAAAAAGAGAGAGGTTAAGAGAGTGGTGAAGCTATGTAAAAAGAGAGCAAATGAGAGAGTGGGTGAGATGTTATCAACAAATTTTGTTGAAAATAAGAAAAAGTTTTGGAGTGAGATTAACAAGTTATGGAAGCCTAGAGAACAAATGGATTTGTCAGTTAAAAATAGGAGAGGAGAGTTATTAAATGGAGAGTTAGAGGTATTGGGAAGATGGAGGGAATATTTTGAGGAATTGTTAAATGTTGATGAAGATAGGGAAGCTGTGATTTCGTGTATAGGGCAAGGAGGAATAACATCTTGTAGGAGTGAGGAAGAGTCAGTTGTGAGTGTGGGGGTAGTTCCTGAGGCAGTAGGTAAAATGAAAGGGGGAAAGGCAGCCGGGATTGATGGGATAAAGATAGAAATGTTAAAAGCAGGTGGGGATATAGTTTTGGAGTGGTTGGTGCAATTATTTAATAAATGTATGGAAGAGGGTAAGGTACCTAGGGATTGGCAGAGAGCATGCATAGTTCCTTTGTATAAAGGCAAAGGGGACAAAAGAGAGTGCAAAAATTATAGGGGGATAAGTTTGTTGAGTGTACCTGGTAAAGTGTATGGTAGAGTTATTATTGAAAGAATTAAGAGTAAGATGGAGAATAGGATAGCAGATGAACAAGGAGGCTTTAGGAAAGGAAGGGGGTGTGTGGACCAGGTGTTTACAGTGAAACACATAAGTGAACAGTATTTAGATAAGGCTAAAGAGGTCTTTGTGGCATTTATGGATTTGGAAAAGGCGAATGACAGGGTGGATAGGGGGGCAATGTGGCAGATGTTGCAGGTGTATCGTGTAGGAGGTAGGTTACTGAAAGCAGTAAAGAGTTTTTACGAGGATAGTGAGGCTCAAGTTAGAGTATGTAGGAAAGAGGGAAATTATTTCCCAGTAAAAGTAGGCCTTAGACAAGGATGTGTGATGTCACCGTGGTTGTTTATAATTATTTATAGATGGGGTTGTAAGAGAAGCAAATGCGAGGGTCTTGGCAAGAGGCGTGGAGTTAAAAGATAAAGAATCACACATAAATTGGGAGTTGTCACAGCTGCTCTTTGCTGATGACACTGTGCTCTTTGGAGATTCTGAAGAGAAGTTGCAGAGATTGGTGGATGAGTTTGGTAGGGTATGCAAAAGAAGAAAATTAAAAGTGAATACAGGAAAGAGTAAGGTTATGAGGATAACAAAAAAATTTAGGTGATGAAAGATTGGATATCAGATTGGAGGGAGAGGGTATGGAGGAGGTGAATGTATTCAGATATTTGGGAGTGGATGTGTCAGCGGATGGGTCTATGAAAGATGAGGTGAATCATAGAAGTGATGAGGGGAAAAGGGTGAGTGGTGCACTTAGGAGTCTGTGGAGACAAAGAACTTTGTCCTTGGAGGCAAAGAGGGGAATGTATGAGAGTATAGTTTTACCAACGCTCTTATATGGGTGTGAAGCATGGGTGATGAATGTTGCAGCGAGGAGAAGGCTGGAGGCAGTGGAGATGTCATGTCTGAGGGCAATGTGTGGTGTGAATATAATGCAGAGAATTCGTAGTTTGGAAGTTAGGAGGAGGTGCGGGATTACCAAAACTGTTGTCCAGAGGGCTGAGGAAGGGTTGAGGTGGTTCAGACATGTAGAGAGAATGGAGCGAAACAGAATGACTTCAAGAGTGTATCAGTCTGTAGTGGAAGGAAGGCGGGGTAGGGGTCGGCCTAGGAAAGGTTGGAGGGAGGGGGTAAAGGAGGTTTTGTGTGCGAGGGGCTTGGACTTCCAGCAGGCATGCGTGAGCGTGTTTGATAGGAGTGAATGGAGACAAATGGTGTTTAATACTTGACGTGCTGTTGGAGTGTGAGCAAAGTAACATTTATGAAGGGGTTCAGGGAAACTGGCAGGCCGGACTTGAGTCCTGGAGATGGGAAGTACAGTGCCTGCACTCTGAAGGAGGGGTGTTAATGTTGCAGTTTAAAAACTGTAGTGTGAAGCACCCTTCTGGCAAGACAGTGATGGAGTGAATGATGGTGAAAGTTTTTTTCTTTTTTGGGCCACCCTGCCTTGGTGGGAATCGGCCAGTGTGATAATAAAAAAAAAAAATGTGTATAATATTATCATTTGTGCTTTTATTAGTCCTGAATCCAAACTGAGAGGGGTTGAGTATGTCTTGAGAGACGAGGTAGGAATAGATCTGCCTATGAATTAGTTTTTCAAAGATTTTAGAGAGCAGAGGTAAGTTAGATATTGGTCTATAGTTATTCAAGTGTGTTTGATCTCCTCCTTTGTGAATTGGGGTGACCCTTGCTATTTTGAGAACTGATGGGAAGGTGGAGGATTCGATGGATTTGTTAGTGTTGCAATAACTGGTGACAGTACTTGAGAAGCTTTTTTGTAAATAAAAGGTGGTAAGTTTATATCTCCTGCCTTGCTTTTAAGGGTATTGATGATTAACGAGACTTCTGTTAGGGTGGTTGGAGCTAGGAATAGTGTATTGGGGTATTTACTCATGAGATTGTCTGATGGATGGGTGATTGAGCTTGGGTTTTTGCTTGCTAGATTCTTTCCTATGGTGGAGAAGAAAACATTTAGTCTGCTTGCTGTTTCAATTGGTGGGAGTAGGGGTTCATCTGATTTTGTTACTCTGAGTGTTTAAAAAAGAGAAACTTTCTTTTTTCTTTTTGGGCCACCCTGCCTCAGTGGGAAATGGCTGGTCTGTTGAAAGATATATTATTATTATTATATTTGTCTTAATAAAAAATAAAAATTATAATTAGTCTGCAAATGCTAGTGAATTTGAAAACCTGCATAAAAAATGCAAAGAACTTAAATGAATACATTACCTTAGTGGCATACCAATCTGGGGTGCAGATAGACCAACACAATCATATTTTTTCATTACTTGCTGCATCTGAGATATTATCTGTGAAAAAGGACATTTATTTTTCTCTTTAAAGGGTTCTTAAAAGTTAATTTTATATAATATTAGTTACTGATTTATATAATATGATTAGAAATATATAGGTAGTAGGTTGGTAGACAGCAACCGCCCAGGGAGGTACTACCGTCCTGCCAAGTGAGTGTAAAATGGAAACCTGTAATTGTTTTACATGATGGTAGGATTACTGGTGTCTTTTTTCTGTCTCATAAACATGCAGGATTTCAGGTACATCTTGCTACTTCTGCTTACACTTAGGTCACACTACACATACATGTACAAGCATATATATATATACATATCCCTCTGGGTTTTCTTCTATTTTCTTTCTAGTTCTTGTTCTTGTTTATTTCCTCTTATCTCCATGGGGAAGTGGAACAGAATTCTTCCTCCATAAGCCATGCATGTCGTAAGAGACGACTAAAATGCCGGGAGCAAGGGGCTAGTAACCCCTTCTCCTGTATAAATTACTAAATTTAAAAAGAGAAACTTTCGTTTTTCTTTTTGGGCCACCCTGCCTTGGTGGGATACGGCCGGTGTGTTGAAAGAAGAAGAAAGATTAGAAATATGAAAATGCATTTTTGTGTAAGGACCTAGGTTGCCCACTATGAATAAAACCAACGCTCACAAATACTCTATGCCCCATTAACCCTTTCAGGGTCTATCCTGTAGTTCTACAGCTTTGAAGCCTGAGTCCAAGCTGTAGTTCTATGCCATGAGATCAGCTCACTCAGATAAGCTGTGAGTGGAAAATCTGGGCTTAGATATGAGAGAATACATCTATGTGGTAAGTGTGCACCATATAAAACAAATCCTGCAGCACACAGTGCATAATGATAAAAAAAAGCTGCGACCGTATTTTTGTATTAAAACAGTGGCTTTGCGGTGTTTTTCTGTATGATTTTTACAGTTGTATTCATGGTTTCTTGGTCTCATTTGATAGAATGGAAGATATATTACAGAAATAGAATGATTTTCATTGGTTTTAGTATTGAAAATGTCTTGAAACTGTGCTCAGTTTCAAGCCATTTTCAGTTATGTTCGATTTTTGCCGATGTTCAAGAGTAAAGAAATGATGTCACACATCCAATACATGTCAGCTGGTGGGTCTAATGTGCATTCACAAATGTGCTGATATTATTTATATAATTGTTAAAATATTGCATAACAGTAACTCTTCTATTTTTTTGGTGTGAATAAAAATTCATTATGTGAATCAAAGATCAAAATGGAATTCATTTGAAAAGCCTGAAAACGTAACTAATGAACAGAGGAAATGTTTGCATTCTTTATTTTGGTCCCTATTTTGAAATTGGAATATTTTGAACTTTGTGAAACTGGCCAAATTACCAATTTCTGATCACTTTATTGGGTAGTCAAAACAGCTGACTGGGCGATTTCCTGTGCTCAATTGATAAAATAGAAGTAATACTAGTGAAATAGCTAAGAATTTGGTCGACTGGAATAACGTAATTGGCCTAAAATGGGAGTCAAAGTCAACAAAATCACCGATGTGTAAATATTGCTAATGCAACAAAATTCGTGACAGCGTAATTTCGTCAATTTTCCATCAAATTTTGTACTTTTTGTTTTAATACCTTCAGAAAAAGATTCTCTATCATTTCAAAAGAAAAATAACAAATTTTTTTTTGAAAATTCTTGGACCCTGTGGACAAGTTTCAGATCAGAGGTCTGGACCCTTAGAGCATTAAAGACTATCACATGCTTCTGTACTCAATCATTACTCAATCAGCTCAATCACTAGCTCACTCAACTCGCACACTGTGGTCAGGGGTTGATCCCTGGTACGGCTGGGAACATTAGGACGTGTTTCCATCACCCCTTAACTGTCCAAATGTAACTCAACACAGATCAACGCTTTACTTTTCCTATCTTCAAATTTGGGACGATCGTCCTGAGATGCCAGGTCAGTATAGAATTGGTGTGTGCAGTATTAAAAAAATCTGGGACCACTTAGTACCTTGTGGGAGCACCAGTTCAATTGAATGCCAGCTAGAGCAAACAGCGTGGCAAGCACCAGGGATTCCCTGATGTCATGTTGTATTAATACTCCCCTTTTAAGAGGAAAGTGATGTTGACCCCGAGTTTAGTGGCTTTGAGATGGATGTGGCTACACGTGGTTGAGGAAATTTTAAAAACCTTGATAATAACCTATGTGCAGCATTTGTCTCACATCCTTTCAATTCTGATACCACTGGTAGCCAGAATGTCCTATAACCTTTGTCCTAAGTAAAGAGACATGATTCTGGAACATGTGTAATACATGTTCAGCAGGCTGGCTGGCTGGGTGGAGGGGTGGCCTGCTGGGTGGAGGGGTGGCCTGCTGGGTGGGTGGGTGGCTGGCTGGCTGGCTGGCTGGTTGGCTGGCTGGTTGGCTGGCCAGCTGGCTGACTAGCTGGGTGGCTGGGTGATTGATTTTGGTTGTCTCTATCTCTGTCTGTATCTATCTATTTATCTCTGTATCTGTCTCTGTCTCTATGTCTGTCTCTGTCTATCAGTCTGTCTCTGTCTGACAGGCACAGAAGTACAGTTATGATACACAGTATAAATTACCCAGGATAAAATAAAAAAAACCAAAGTGCTATACTGGCAAGTAATGTGCATTTTTATTTATTTATTTATTTATTTAGTAATTTGAACATACATACAGAGGTACAAAAAAATACAGGTAAGAGCAGCATGCCAAAGCCACTTATATGCATAGCATTATGGGCTGGCTTAAAATTAACTAAGCAATGATGAAATCAGTGATAAAACATTATTGTAAACAGATAACTATAAAGCACAAATGAGTATTACAAAGACAGGTCATATGGTTGCATGCATTGCTGTACATTCAGTCGAATGGAGTATTCTGTTAGATTGGGTTTTAGGTTTAACATTTATGTGATATAATTGTGAGAAACATTTAAGATATACAATTTATAAGGTTCAGTTATTCAGTATTTATTTGGTTTTGGGTGAGTAAGTGATCTTTGAGAAGAGACTTGAATTTATAAACAGGTAGTGTTTCTTTTATATTTACAGGTAATGAATTCCAGATTTTAGGGCCTTTTATGTGCATTGAGTTTTTGCATAGCGTGAGATGGACACGAGGAACATCAAAGAGTGATCTGTGCCTTGTGTTATGGTCATGTGTTCTGTTGAGGTTGGCAAGGAGATGTTTGAGGAGAGGGTTAATATCAGAGTTAAGTGTTCTATGTATGTAATAGGTGCAATAATAAGTATGGATGTTTTGTATGGTGAGTAGGTTGAGTGTTTTGAATATTGGTGGAGTGTGCTGCCTGTAGTGAGAATTTGTTATCATTCTAACTGCAGCCTTTTGCTGGGTAATTAGTGGTCTGAGATGGTTAATTGTTGTTGAGCCCCATGCACAAATTCCATAGGTGAGATAGGGGTAAATAAGAGAGTGATATAGGGCCAGGAGGGCTGACTGTGGAGCATAGTACCGTATCTTCGATAGTATGCCTACAGTCTTGGAAATTTTCTTAGAAATTTGTTGTATATGTGTATGAAATTTGAGTCTATTATCAAGGTGGATTCCTAAGAATTTTCCCTCTGTTAGCTTTGTGATAGGTGATCCATTTATCATTATGTTAAGAGGGACATCTGTAGCTCTGTTACCAAACTGAATGAAGTAGGTTTTGTCAATGTTTAGTGTAAGTTTGTTAGTCCTCATCCAGGTAGATATTTTCTGTAATTCGGTATTTACAGTATTGGCTAGCGTGACTGGGCTCGGGTGAGAGAAGACGTATGTAGTGTCATCTGCAAATAGTGTGGGTTTGAGTAATTGCGAAGCATTTGGTAGGTCATTTATGTATAGGAGAAAGAGAAGAGGGCCAAGGACACTTCCCTGTGGGACACCAACTGTAATTGGTTGTGCGGAAGAGCTTGCCCCATTTGTGTACACATATTGGCTTCTGTTGCTGAGGTATGACTTGAGGTAGTTGAGGGAGTGCCCTCTTATACCATAGTGTGACAATTTTACGTGGAGCAAGTCATGGTCAACTGTATCAAAAGCTTTACGTAAGTCAATGAAGATCCCCAGTGGGACTTCTTTTTTCTCTATTGCAGTGTATATATGTTCTAGCATGTGTATAATAGCATCATTAGTATTTTTATTAGGCCTGAATCCAAATTGGCAGGGGTTGAGTATGTTTTGGGAGATGAGGTAGGAGTAGATTCGTTTATGAATTAATTTTTCGAAGATTTTTGAGAGAGGGTGTAAATTGGATATTGGCCTATAGTAATTCAACTCTGTTTGGTCTCCTCCTTTATGGATCGGGGTGACCCTTGCTATTTTGAGAACTGTGGGGAAGGTGGAGGATTCAATGGATTTGTTAAAGAGTGTTGCAATGATTGGTGATAGCACTTGTGACACTTTTTGTATATAAAGGGTGGTAAGGTATTTAAATCTCCTGCCTTGTTTTTTAGTGCGTTGATAATAAGGGAGACTTCGTATGGGTTAGTCGGAGCTAGGAACAGTGTGTTCGGGTAGTTGCCAGTGAGGTAGTCATTTGGTGGGGTATCTGAGCTTGGGATTTTATTGGCAAGGTTTTGTCCTATAGTGGAGAAGAAATCATTGAGTCTGTTTGCTGTTTCTGTTGGTGGGAGTTGGGGTTCATCTGATTTTGCTAATTTTATTTCGCTATTTCGTGATATCTTTTTTGTTCCCAGAATTTCTGATAGGGTTTACCTGGAGTTTACCTGGAGAGAGTTCCGGGGGTCAATGCCCCCGCAGCCCGGTCTGTGACCAGGCCTCCTGGTGGATCAGAGCCTGATCAACCAGGCTGTTGCTGCTGGCTGCACGCAAACCAACGTACGAGCCACAGCCCGGCTGATCAGGAACTGACTTTAGGTGCTTGTCCAGTGCCAGCTTGAAGACTGCCAGGGGTCTGTTGGTAATCCCCCTTATGTGTGCTGGGAGGCAGTTGAACAGTCTCGGGCCCCTGACACTTATTGTATGGTCTCTTAACGTGCTAGTGACACCCCTGCTTTTCATTGGGGGGATGTTGCATCGTCTGCCAAGTCTTTTGCTTTCGTAGTGAGTGATTTTCGTGTGTAAGTTCGGTACTAGTCCCTCTAGGATTTTCCAGGTGTATATAATCATGTATCTCTCCTCCTGCGTTCCAGGGAATACAGGTTTAGGAACCTCAAGCCCTCCCAGTAATTGAGGTGTTTTATCTCCGTTATGCGCGCCGTGAAAGTTCTCTGTACATTTTCTAGGTCGGCAATTTCACCTGCCTTGAAAGGTGCTGTTAGTGTGCAGCAATATTCCAGCCTAGATAGGTTTTCCAGGTCTTTTTTATATCACCAATAAGTTGGATAATCTGTTCTCATAATACAATTTTTTTTTCCCTTCTTATCAGGCTGGTTAGGATTGACGAGTAACGTTTTGTTTGGTCTCTGGTTATGTGACCCATTCTGTACTGTTTTTCATATCGGTGTTTTGTATTTATGGATCTGACGTGACAACTCTGCATCCTGTGTAATACCTGTTAGTTCATGAGCGGCTCTCTAAGACAGAAAGACAGACAGGCAGACAGATACAGGAAGACAGGGACACACAGGCAGACAGAAAGACAGTTAAGCAGAGACAGAGATAAACAGTGACAGAGTTAGACAGACAGACAGACCTGCTTATGTGCAACAACAAGAACAAATAAAGCCAAGAAGGTTAAGTGGAGCAGTGCACGATCATCAATATTTGAGTGCTGCACTGTCAGCAGTGGAGTGACACTCATCTTACACCATGCTTCAAGGAGTTTCAAATAATCCAACATGTCTCAAACACTGCTGGGACATAAAAATATATTTGAAGGGAGAGAGTATGGAGGAGGTGAATGTATTCAGATATTTAGGAATGGATGTGTCAGCAGATGGGTCTATGAAAGATGAGGTGAATCATAGAACTGATGAGGGTAAAAAGGTGGGTGGTGCACTTAGGAGTCTGCGGAGACAAAGAACTTTGTCCATGGAAGCAAAGAGGGGAATGTATGAGAGTATAGTTATACCAGTGCTCTTATGTGGGTGTGAAACATAGGTGGTGAATGTTGCAACAAGGAGAAGACTGGAGGCAGTGGAGCTGTCATGTCTGCATGCAATGTGTGATGTGAATATAATGCAGAGAATTTGTAGTTTGGAAATTAGGAGGAGGTGCGGGATTACCCAAACTGTCATCCAGAGGGCTGAGGAGGGGTTGTTGAGGTGGTTTGGACATGTAGAGAGGGTAGAATGAAATAGAATGACTTCAAGAGTGTATAAATCTGTAGTGGAGGGAAGGCAGGGTAGGGGTTGGCCTAGGAAAGTTTACAGGGAGGAGGTCAGAGAGGTTTTGTGTGTGAGAGGCTTGATTTACAGCAAGCATGCATGAGTGTGTTAGATAGGAGCAAATGGTGACAAATGGTTTTTAAGACTTGACGTGCTGTTGGAATGTGAGTAAGGTAATATTAATGAAGGGATTCAGGGAAACTGGTAGGCTGGACTTGAGTCCTGGAGATGGGAAGTACAGTGCCTGCACTCTGAAGGAGGGGTGTTAATGTTGCAGTTTTTTAAATGTAGTGTAAGTGTGCCTCTGGCAAGACAATGATATGGAATGATTGATAATGAAAGCTTTTCTTTTTTGGGGCCACCCTACCTTGGTGAAACGGCCGATGCAGTAATAAAAAAAAATAAGAAACAGGTTTGCTCTGGAAACAAGATGCCATCAGAATATACATCAGCAAACAAGAGAAAATTGTTTCTGGATTCAAGGCTGCAAAAGACCATTCCAACTTGCTTCTTTGCAGTAATGCAACAGGATACTTTAAATGTCAACTCTTGCTGTTTATCATTCCAAGAATCCCCATGCTCTAAAAGGTAAAGACAAAAGCACATTGCCTGCTATTTGGAAGTCCAACACCATAGCAACCATGACTCAGTGGTTGAAGTACACTTTATTCCTGAAGCGAGGATGTACCTGTCCCAGAAAAAAACCTGCATTCAGTGTTTTCATCCTTGATAATTGTCATAGTCATCCTCAACTCCTGGAGGATGTGGAACCAGGTGTCAAGATTATTCTTTTACCACCAAATACGACATCCTTGATGCAATCTCTGGACTGAGGAGCCATCAAAACATTTAAGTGCCACAACACATGAAATGTGATGCAGAAACTAGTGCCAGCAACTAACAAGACAGGTAGTGCCCAAGTTTTGCCACAAACTTAACATTGCAGATGCAATGTATAAAAAGCATGGGATCAAAATCAACAATAATTGCTGATTGGAGAAAAATAAGTCCTAATGTCGTGATTTTTTACTGGTTTTCCATCAGAAAAAAGCCAGGTTCATGAAACTGTTGATCTGGCAAGGAGAGTGCCAGGTGAGGGATTTGAAAATACGCAGCCAGGTGACATTAACGAATTACTACTACTACTGAAGGTGATGATGATATGAAATCATATAATGATGATATACATAGGGTGTGCAAAAGAAGAAAATTAAAGGTGAATACAGGAAAGAGTAAGGTTATGAGGATAACAAAAAGATTAGGTGATGAAAGATTGAATATCAGATTGGAGGGAGAGAGTATGGAGGAGGTGAACGTATTCAGATATTTGGGAGTGGACGTGTCAGCGGATGGGTCTATGAAAGATGAGGTGAATCATAGAATTGATGAGGGAAAAAGAGTGAGTGGTGCACTTAGGAGTCTGTGGAGACAAAGAACTTTGTCCTTGGAGGCAAAGAGGGGAATGTATGAGAGTATAGTTTTACCAACGCTCTTATATGGGTGTGAAGCGTGGGTGATGAATGTTGCAGCGAGGAGAAGGCTGGAGGCAGTGGAGATGTCATGTCTGAGGGCAATGTGTGGTGTGAATATAATGCAGAGAATTCGTAGTTTGGAAGTTAGGAGGAGGTGTGGGATTACCAAAACTGTTGTCCAGAGGGCTGAGGAAGGGTTGTTGAGGTGGTTCGGACATGTAGAGAGAATGGAGCGAAACAGAATGACTTCAAGAGTGTATCAGTCTGTAGTGGAAGGAAGGCGGGGTAGGGGTCGGCCTAGGAAGGGTTGGAGGGAGGGGGTAAAGGAGGTTTTGTGTGCGAGGGGCTTGGACTTCCAGCAGGCATGCGTGAGCGTGTTTGATAGGAGTGAATGGAGACAAATGGTTTTTAATACTTGACGTGCTGCTGGAGTGTGAGCAAAGTAACATTTATGAAGGGATTCAGGGAAACCGGCAGGCCGGACTTGAGTCCTGGAGATGGGAAGTACAGTGCCTGCACTCTGAAGGAGGGGTGTTAATGTTGCAGTTTAAAAACTGTAGTGTAAAGCACCCTTCTGGCAAGACAGTGATGGAGTGAATGATGGTGAAAGTTTTTCTTTTTCGGGCCACCCTGCCTTGGTGGGAATCGGCCGGTGTGATAATAAAATAAAAAATAATAAATACATAATGATGATGATGAACCAACTGCAGAGGAAATATTGCAGGTATTAGATTTAGGAATAGCATTAGGATTAGTTTGCTCGATATGCTTTTCAAGGCCCAAAAAAAGAAAAACTTTCATAATCATTCACTCCACCACTGTCCTACCAGAAGCATGCTTACACTACAGTTATAAAACTGCAACATTACACCCCTCTTTCAGAGTGCAGACATTGTACTTCCCATCTCCAGGACTCAAGTCTGGCCTGGTAGTTTCCCTGAATCCCTTTATAAATGTTACCTTGCTCACACTCATCTTGAAGCACTGCTGTAAAACATCCTCATCCACAAAATTGTGTAGAAAAGGTTTTATTTCTCAAAGGATTATTAACAAATTGGTTGTTTTCTACCGAAGCAGGGGTGACCCGAAAAAGAAGAAATACTTCCATCATCATTCACTCCATCACTGACTTGCCATAGGCATGCCTACACTACAGTGTAGGAGCATGTTTTATGGAGGCCTGAGAAACACAGTCCTATTTTTCCCATATGTTTTTCAGTCCATAATTAACAGAAACCATTAGTAGTTCAGTTTTCAGGAATGCAACCTGCACAAATTATGAATGTCTACTTGCATATGCAGGTTCTAGATTATTTTATTCTATTTATCTGAACAAAAAATTAATATATTACAGCGTCTTACCTGTTGTATTTCAGGAGAAGTGATATGTTCAGATGGAACGGGTTTAGCTTCCAATCTTAACACAGGGTCCCCTACTTGACATATGTGAATATAGGGAGGCTTTGCAGGGCTTGGGAAAAAGAAATTACGATAGGCAGCTATAAAACGTTTAAGAGCCATTGTTGTTTGCCTGTAAAACAAAATTAGAATCTTGTTCAATAATAATGCAGTAATGATTACAAAATTCACAAAAAGTAGTGTACATAGGCATTAGGAAGAGAAATTCATAATACAGCAGTGCATACAACAATATTAGTGTGTTTACAGATGAGATCATAAGTGAAATGCATACTGTACTAGTGTCAGAGGTGTGGTTATCTTAAGCATAATAAATCTGATATAAAGGAGGAATTGCCACAGTTGTTTGCATATAACCCAGTGCCAGTGAGGGGATTCAGAAGAAAAGTTGCAGAGATTGGTAGAGCAGTGTGGAAGATGTGCAAAAGAAAGTGACATAAATATGTACAAAGTGACATAAATATATACAGTGGAACCTCTACTTACGAGTGCACCCATGTGCACTCGTAAGTACACATACAAGCAGTCACTAGGTCGATTTTTTGCTTCCATACATGAGCGAAATTTCCAGATGCACGCAGGCCTCAAGGGAGGTTCCTTGACGCTGGTGAGGGGCTCTTGTTCTTTATATAGGGAATTGGATCTCAGTAGTTTGTTGGGCAATGTATGATGGAAAGATGCTTCTTAACATACACCAAAAATTGAAGAAATTGGACCATAAATAACAGAGTTCACTTCTCAGCCAATAGCCGCCCCTTAGCGGTATTTTTGTATGTTTTAATGGTTGTATTCTCATTTTTTTTGGTCTCATTTGATAGAATGGAAGATATTACAGAAATAGATATGATTTTGATTGGTTTCAAAATGAAAAGTACCTTGAAATTGAGCTCAAATTAGTGGAAATGTTCAATTCTTTGGCAATGTTCAAAAGTAAACAATGTGCAGTCCATTCCAATGTGCAGTCATGAATGGGTTGACATTATTTATACAATTATTACAATGCAGTAGTCTGCATAACAGTAAATCTTCTATTTTTTGTGTGAATAAAAATTGGCGAAACGTCTACAATAAAGATACCCAGATGTTGCACGTGTCTCAATTTCATCATTTATATTTTCATAATAATAATAATACGTACATATAATAATAATAGTATAATATTTAATAACAATAATAATAATATACTATTACATATAATAATAATACATGTATAGTAATAATGTACTATATAATAATTATAATAATAGATGGCTTCAAAAGCCGTCATTAGATGGCAGTGATTACCACAGCAATGCGGGAATGGTTGCGGGCGCCTCCACTTGTCACATAATGACATTTTTTATTCATTCTAGAGTATGTATCAGGTTTCTATGTTATTTATATTGTTTATTATGTCATATTAAATGGACTGTGATAGATAAATAAGTCGTATAGATGATATTAGAGAAATATTGAAGTATATCTTGTCTTGCCGCCTGAGAGCCGGGAACGGATTAATTGCATTTCAATTAATTTAAATGAGGAAAATTGACACTGCAAACAAACAAATCCAGATGTGAGCAAAGTCACAGAGCAGATTAACCCTTTGACTGTTTCGGTCGTATATATATACGTCTTACGAGATACCCTGGTTGACGTATATACTCATAAATTCTAGTGGCTTCAAATCAAGCAGGAGAAAGCTGGTAAGCCCACATGTGAGAGAATGGGTCTGTGTGGTCAGTGTGCACCATATAAAAAAAATCCTGGAGCACGCAGTACATAATGAGAAAAAAAAACTCCGACCGTTTTTTTTTAATTAAAATGCCAACTTTGTGGTCTATTGTCGTATAGTATTTATGATTGTATTCTCGTTTCCTTGGTCTCATTTGATAGAATGGAAAACATATTATAGAAATAGAGGTGATTTTGATTCGTTTTACTATAAAATAACCTTGAAATGGAGCTCAAAGTTGGGGAAATGCTTGATTTTTGCCTATGTTCAAAAGTAAACAAATGATGTCATTGTCCAATAAATGTCCAACTAGCCATTCTAATATGCAGTCATGAATTGGTTGACATTATCTGTACAATTATTACAGTATTGCAGTAGTCTGCATAACAGTAAATCTTCTATTTTTTGTTTGAATAAAAATTCAAAATAGAAACCAAGAGTAATATCAGAGGGGCCTGGAGACATGACTGATGAACAAAGAAAATTTTATTTTAGAGTCAAGAATGTCTGCATTGTTCATTCTGGACCTTATTTTGAAATGTTCATATTTTTTAATTTTCATGAAATTGGCCAAATTGCAAATTTCTGACCACGTTATTGGGTAGTTGAAATCAGTTAATGGGCAGTTTCTTGTGCTCAATCGATAAAAAAATGGAGTTCTAAAGAAATAGCTATGAGTTTGGTTGACTGGGACAATGGAATTAGCCGAAAATAGGGCTCAAAGTGGGCGAAATCGCCGATTTGTAAATATCACCGAGGTCGCTAACTTCGCGAGAGCGTAATTCCGTCAGTTTTCCATCAAATTTCGGTTTTTTGGTATCATTACAATCGGGAAAAGATTCTCTATCATTTCAAAAGAAAATTATGAGGGGACACCTCATGATTCGGGGTTGTGACAGTCAAGGGGTTAAACTCGTAAGCAGAGGTTCCACTGTAGAGATAAAGATAATTTTGATGGAGAAAAATATGTATAAAATGTATTTAGACAATAGATATGAATGACTCCATGAGGAAGTGGAACAGAATTCTTCCTCCGTAAGCCATGCATGTCGTAAGAGGAGACAAAAATGCCAGGAGCTAGGGGCTAGTAACCCCTTCTATATACAGTACTAAATTTAAAAAGAAAAACTTTGTTTTCCTTTTTAAATAAATTTAGAACTGTTCTTCTTTTTAGGTCACTCTGCCTTGGTGGGATATGGCCAGTTCATTGAAAAAAATAAGAATGAATATTTTTTTTTTTTTTTTTTTTATTATCACACCGGCCGATTCCCACCAAGGCAGGGTGGCCCGAAAAAGAAAAACTTTCACCATCATTCACTCCATCACTGTCTTGCCAGAAGGGTGCTTTACACTACAGTTTTTAAACTGCAACATTAACACCCCTCCTTCAGAGTGCAGGCACTGTACTTCCCATCTCCAGAACTCAAGTCCGGCCTGCCGGTTTCCCTGAATCCCTTCATAAATGTTACTTTGCTCACACTCCAACAGCACGTCAAGTATTAAAAACCATTTGTCTCCATTCACTCCTATCAAACACGCTCATGCATGCCTGCTGGAAGTCCAAGCCCCTCGCACACAAAACCTCCTTTACCCCCTCCCTCCAACCCTTCCTAGGCCGACCCCTACCCCGCCTTCCTTCCACTACAGACTGATACACTCTTGAAGTCATTCTGTTTCGCTCCATTCTCTCTACATGTCCGAACCACCTCAACAACCCTTCCTCAGCCCTCTGGACAACAGTTTTGGTAATCCCGCACCTCCTCCTAACTTCCAAACTACGAATTCTCTGCATTATATTCACACCACACATTGCCCTCAGACATGACATCTCCACTGCCTCCAGCCTTCTCCTCGCTGCAACATTCATCACCCACGCTTCACACCCATATAAGAGCGTTGGTAAAACTATACTCTCATACATTCCCCTCTTTGCCTCCAAGGACAAAGTTCTTTGTCTCCACAGACTCCTAAGTGCACCACTCACTCTTTTTCCCTCATCAATTCTATGATTCACCTCATCTTTCATAGACCCATCCGCTGACACGTCCACTCCCAAATATCTGAATACGTTCACCTCCTCCATACTCTCTCCCTCCAATCTGATATTCAATCTTTCATCACCTAATCTTTTTGTTATCCTCATAACCTTACTCTTTCCTGTATTCACCTTTAATTTTCTTCTTTTGCACACCCTACCAAATTCATCCACCAATCTCTGCAACTTCTCTTCAGAATCTCCCAAGAGCACAGTGTCATCAGCAAAGAGCAGCTGTGACAACTCCCACTTTGTGTGTGATTCTTTATCTTTTAACTCCACGCCTCTTGCCAAGACCCTCGCATTTACTTCTCTTACAACCCCATCTATAAATATATTAAACAACCACGGTGACATCACACATCCTTGTCTAAGGCCTACTTTTACTGGGAAAAAATTTCCCTCTTTCCTACATACTCTAACTTGAGCCTCACTATCCTCATAAAAACTCTTCACTGCTTTCAGTAACCTACCTCCTACACCATACACTTGCAACATCTGCCACATTGCCCCCCTATCCACCCTGTCATACGCCTTTTCCAAATCCATAAATGCCACAAAGACCTCTTTAGCCTTATCTAAATACTGTTCACTTATATGTTTCACTGTAAACACCTGGTCCACACACCCCCTACCTTTCCTAAAGCCTCCTTGTTCATCTGCTATCCTATTCTCCGTCTTACTCTTAATTCTTTCAATTATAACTCTACCATACACTTTACCAGGTACACTCAACAGACTTATCCCCCTATAATTTTTGCACTCTCTTTTATCCCCTTTGCCTTTATACAAAGGAACTATGCATGCTCTCTCTGCCAATCCCTAGGTACCTTACCCTCTTCCATACATTTATTAAATAATTGCACCAACCACTCCAAAACTATATCCCCACCTGCTTTTAACATTTCTATCTTTATCCCATCAATCCCGGCTGCCTTACCCCCTTTCATTTTACCTACTGCCTCACGAACTTCCCCCACACTCACAACTGGCTCTTCCTCACTCCTACAAGATGTTATTCCTCCTTGCCCTATACACGAAATCACAGCTTCCCTATCTTCATCAACATTTAACAATTCCTCAAAATATTCCTTCCATCTTCCCAATACCTCTAACTCTCCATTTAATAACTCTCCTCTCCTATTTTTAACTGACAAATCAATTTGTTCTCTAGGCTTTCTTAACTTGTTAATCTCACTCCAAAACTTTTTTCTTATTTTCAACAAAATTTGTTGATAACATCTCACCCACTCTCTCATTTGCTCTCTTTTTACATTGCTTCACCACTCTCTTAACCTCTCTCTTTTTCTCCATATACTCTTCCCTCCTTTCATCACTTCTACTTTGTAAAAACTTCTCATATGCTAACTTTTCTCCCTTACTACTCTCTTACATCATCATTCCACCAATCGCTCCTCTTCCCTCCTGCACCCACTTTCCTGTAACCACAAACTTCTGCTGAACACTCTAACACTACATTTTTAAACCTACCCCATACCTCTTCGACCCCATTGCCTATGCTCTCATTAGCCCATCTATCCTCCAATAGCTGTTTATATCTTACCCTAACTGCCTCCTCTTTTAGTTTATAAACCTTCACCTCTCTCTTCCCTGATGCTTCTATTCTCCTTGTATCCCATCTACCTTTTACTCTCAGTGTAGCTACAACTAGAAAGTGATCTGATATATCTGTGGCCCCTCTATAAACATGTACATCCTGAAGTCTACTCAACAGTCTTTTATCTACCAATACATAATCCAACAAACTACTGTCATTTCGCCCTACATCATATCGTGTATACTTATTTATCCTCTTTTTCTTAAAATATGTATTACCTATAACTAAACCCCTTTCTATACAAAGTTCAATCAAAGGGCTCCCATTATCATTTACACCTGGCACCCCAAACTTACCTACCACACCCTCTCTAAAAGTTTCTCCTACTTTAGCATTCAAGTCCCCTACCACAATTACTCTCTCACTTGGTTCAAAGGCTCCTATACATTCACTTAACATCTCCCAAAATCTCTCTCTCTCCTCTGCATTCCTCTCTTCTCCAGGTGCATACACGCTTATTATGACCCACTTCTCGCATCCAACCTTTACTTTAATCCACATAATTCTTGAATTTACACATTCATATTCTCTTTTCTCCTTCCATAACTGATCATTTAACATTACTGCTACCCCTTCCTTTGCTCTAACTCTCTCAGATACTCCAGATTTAATCCCATTTATTTCCCCCCACTGAAACTCTCCTACCCCCTTCAGCTTTGTTTCGCTTAGGGCCAGGACATCCAACTTCTTTTCATTCATAACATCAGCAATCATCTGTTTCTTGTCATCCGCACTACATCCACGCACATTTAAGCAACCCAGTTTTATAAAGTTTTTCTTCTTCTCTTTTTTAGTAATTGTATACAGGAGAAGGGGTTACTAGCCCATTGCTCCCGGCATTTTAGTCGCCTCATACGACACGCATGGCTTACGGAGGAAAGATTCTTTTCCACTTCCTCCATGGACAATAGAAGAAATAAAAAGAGCAAGAGCTATTTAGAAAAAGGAGAAAAACCTAGATGTATGTATATATATATATGCATGTGCGTGTCTGTGAAGTGTGACCAAAGTGTAAGTAGGAGTAGCAAGATATCCCTGTTATCTTAGCGTGTTTATGAGACAGAAAAAGAAACCAGCAATCCTACCATCATGCAAAACAGTTACAGGTTTTTGTTTCACAGTCATCTGGCAGGACGGTAGTACTTCCCTGGGTGGTTGCTGTCTACCAACCTACTACCTCCAAAGAATGAATATATCAGCAGAATATATGAGGGACAGAAAGTAGTAAGAGTTGATTATCTATGAAAAGTAAATTAGTTTGTCAGTTGATGTGAAAGAATATACATACAAGTGTACCAGTATTAATGCTTCTTTAAGAGTGTACATATTATAGCCCTAATGACCTTCCCATTTTTTCCAGGAAGGTCTACATAGCCATCACTGCAACATGCCATAATTCAAAGTTAAAGTTCTATCACTTCCCACAGCAAGATAAGTCTGCTGGCAAGTCACCCTATTACCTGATAAGCAGTCTTAATAATTTATTAAGGATATGAACTAAATCATGTTGTGCTCTACACACCAGAGACAGAGTAACAATTACTGTAACAACTGGGATACCTCTGATAGTGAGACTTATTTCACAGCTCTGTCCCTGTGAGTTTCACATATAACTTAACGTTATGGTAATCCTTTCATTTTTCAGGAATTGTGTTTCTAAAGGCACCAGCAAATCCAGGAACTGAGAATGCCTTCCTTAAAAAATTTTATAGTGTCCTGAAGCCTGGTAGGCAATGCTCTCAATTCACATACTGAGTGTCTGTGGTTTGGTCCTCAGCAAGGGTGGAAACACTGGGCACAGGAACAGTTGAAGTCCCTTGATTTGTATTCCCTGGAACGCAGGCGAGAGAGATATACGATAATATACACTTGAAAAATCCTACAGGGATTAGTACCAAACTTGCATATGAAAATCACTCAATAAGAAAGCAAAAGACTCAGCAGGAGATGCAACATTTCCCTGATGACAAGCAGGGGCACCACTAGGATGATAAGAGACAATACAATAAGTGTCAGGGACCCAAGACTGTTCAGTTGCCTCCAAGAAGGCACTGGACAGGCACCTAAAGTCAGTACCTGACCAGCCGGGCTGTGGCTTGTATGTCAGTTTACGTGTGGCCAGCAGTAACAACCTGGTTGATCAGACTCTGATCCACCACGAGGCCTGGTCTCAGACCGAGCCACGGGGCATTGACCCCTGAAATCCTCTCCAGGTATACTCCAGGAATACCTGGGAGACACCTCAGATACCTACAACTTGTCAAACCAGCCTCCCTATATCCTTTTTAAATCTAAATCTGTTACTTCAGTCAATATTCATGAGGTAAGTATGTTTATTTAGGAACAGTTCCACGCAAGTGCATTTATCACACATAGTAACATGTGTGTAAACTATCTATGGTAACCCAAAAAGTCATAGTGACTTACTTCCATTGGGGTCCTTGCACTAAATGCTTAAAGGTGATACAGCATCACACAATAGTAAATCACATTATTTTTGTTGGGTGATCTTATCTCTTATCCAAGGTTAATCTTCAGAACCTCTCGCTAATGTGTCAAATATTTTGACTAAAGAAATTAAATGTAAATAATCCATAAAATTAACCTGAAAATCAAAGTTGACAGAGTGAGTATATCAGGATGAAGTAGACTGAAATTAAGTCGGTGAACTTTCCAATGAACGAAATATTCTAGTGATACAGTTGACCATGATCTGCTGCACATTAACCCTTTCAGGGTTTCGGACGTACTAGTACGGCTTACGCACCAGGGTTTTTGATGTAATAGTATGCCTAAATTCTAGCGCCCTCAAATCTAGTGAAAGATAGCTGGTAGGCCTACATATGAAAGAATGGGTCTATGTGGTCAGTGTGTGCAGTATAAAAAAAATCCTGCAGCACACAGTGCGTAATGAGAAAAAAAAAACTTTGACCGTGTTTTTGGATTAAAACAGCGGCTTTGCACTGTATTTTTGTATGGTATTTATTGTTCTATTCTAGTTTTCCTGGTCTCCTTTTATAGAATGGAAGACATATTACAGAAATTGAGATGATTTTGACTGGTTTTACAATGAAAAGTACCTTGAAATTGAGCTCAAAGTAACAGATTATTATTATAATCAAAAAGAAGCGCTAAGCCACAAGGGCTATACAGCGCTGACCAAAGTAACAGAAATGTTTGATTTTTACCAAAGTTCAAAAGTAAACAAATCATGCTAAGCGTCCAATACACATCAACTGGCGAGTCTAATATTCTTTCACAAGTACGCTGATATTATTTACACCATTTCTACACTAATGCAGTAGTCTGCATAACAGTAAATCTTCTATTTTTTTGTGAGAATAAAAATTTAAAGTGGAAAACAAAAGAATGTAAGCGGGGCCTGGGGACGTGACTAATGAACAGAGGAAATGTTATTTTAGTGCCAGGAATGTCTTTCTTGTTTATTCTGGACCCTATTTAGAAATTGGCATCTTTTAAAATTTGTGTGAAATTGGCAAAATTGCTAAATTCTGACCACTGTATTGGATAGTTGAAATCGGTAAATGGGTGGTTTCTTGTACTCATTCGATAGAAAAAAATGGAATTCTAGCGAAATAGTTATGATTTTTGTCGACTAGTACACTGGAATTGGCAGAAAATAGGGCTCAAAGTGGGCAAAATCACCGATGCATAAACACTGTTGAGACTGCTAACTTCGCGAGAGCATAATTCCCTAAGTTTCCCATCAAATTTCATACTTTTGGGTGTCATTATGATCGGGAAAAGATTCTCTATCTTTTCATAAGAAACAATAATTTTTTTTTTTTTAAATTTGGGCGACCCTGAGAACAAGTCTGGGAGAGAGCCTGGGGACCCTGAAAGGGTGAATTTAACACAGTATGGTATAAGAGGGCACTCCCTCAACTACCTAAAGTCATACCTTAGCAACAGAAGCCAATATGTGTACACAAATGGAGCAAACTCTTCCACACATCCAGTTACAGTTGGTGTCCCACAAGGAAGTGTCCTTGGCCCTCTCCTCTTTCTCATTTACATCAATGATCTACCGAATGCATCACAGCTATTCAACCCCATATCATTTGCAGACGACACTACATACATCTTCTCTTACGCAAACCCAATCATACTGGCTAATACTGTAAATGCTGAATTGCAGAAAATATCTACCTGGATGATGACTAACAAGCTTACACTCAATACTGACATAACCTATTTCATTCAGTTTGGAAACAGAGCCACAAATGTTCCACTTAACATAGCGCTGAACAGATCACCCATCACAAGACGCACAGAAGGAAAATTCCTAGGAATCCACTTTGACAGTAGCTTTAAATTCCAAACCCATACACTAATAACCCAGCAAAAGGCTGCAGTCTGAATGATAACAAATTCCCACCCCAGACAGCATACTCCACCAATATACAAAGGTCTAAAACTACTCACCATAAAGAACATCCATACTTATTCTTGCACCTACTACATACATAGAACACTACACTCAAACATAAACCCTTCACTCAAACTTCTCCTCACCAACCTTAATAGGACATACGACCACAACACAAGACATAGATCACTTTTCGATGTACCACATGTCCACATCAAACTATGTAAGAAGTCTATGCATATAAAGGGCCCCAAAATTTGGAACTCATTACCAGTAAATACTAAAGTAACCTGGTCTGAACACCAGTTTAAGGCTCTTCTCAAAAACCACCTACTCACCCTAAACTAAATACTCAATATTTAACTTTATCAAAAAACTATCCAAATCTTAAACTTCAAATCTAGACGCCCTAAGTGCATACATAATGAATCTTACTTTGTAGTATAAATACCTACCCAAAACAATACTGTCTTACACCCAATTGTAACATTCTCATACTGTAAACTACTTTCAACAACTCACAATGTTATATTCCCATAATTTAATTTCAATATTCATTATTTAAACTATTGTAATTAGAGTAAAACTACTGTCTGCTAGAAGCAAAGATGTGTATCTTAAACTATGATCAATTTCTTTAAAATTAAATAGTCAGTAAGCCATTAATCAAGTCTGCCCATAATGCCTAGGCATGATAGTGGCTCTTTGCACTGTACCCCATAATTGTAATTTCATAATCTCAATGTAACCTTGCAAAGAAATAAACTTTGATTATCTTGACTTTCTTGTTGATGTGTTTAGGGCCACTGACAGCGTGCGCCGTAATATTGTTGTCGGGGTTTATAGAGCCACTGACAGCACACGCCGTATCTAGCCCTGCCTTCTAGCGCTCGGAAAAGGAACCTCGATCAAATCAAATAAGTAAGTTTATTCAGGTATACACAAATACAGTTACATAGAATTATCATACATAGTAGCATATGTATAGAGAACCTAGGTTAACCCAAAAAAGTCAGACAGAGTGACTTATTTCCATTAGGGTTCTTTTACCTTATTATTTATTTATTTATTTATTTATTTATTTTATAATTTGAACATACATACAGAGGTACAAAAAATACAGGTAAGAGCAGCATGCCAAAGCCACTTGTATGCATAGCATTACGGGCTGGCTTAAAATTAACTTAAGATTAATTAAGCAATGATGTAATTAGTGATAAAACATTATTGTAAACAGATAACAATAAAGCACAAATGAGTATTACAAAGACAGGACATATGGTTGCATGCATTGCTGTACATTCAGTAGAATGGAGTATTCTGTTAGGTAGTGTATTTAAAAGATAACAAAGTTAGATTGGGTCTTAGGTTTAACATTTATGTGATATAATTGTGAGAAACATTTAAGATAAATAATTTATAAGGATCAGTTATTCAGTATTTATTTGGTTTTGGGTGAGTAAGTGATCTTTGAGAAGAGACTTGAATTTATAAACAGGTAGTGTTTCTTTTATATTTACAGGTAATGAATTCCAGATTTTAGGGCCTTTTATGTGCATTGAGTTTTTGCATAGCGTGAGATGGATACGAGGAACATCAAAGAGTGATCTGTGCCTTGTGTTATGGTCATGTGTTCTGTTGAGGTTGGCAAGGAGATGTTTGAGGGGAGGGTTACTATCAGAGTTAAGTGTTCTATGTATGTAATAGGTGCAGTAATAAGTATGGATGTTTTGTATGGTGAGTAGGTTTAGTGTTTTGAATATTGGTGGAGTATGCTGCCTGTAGTGGGAATTTGTTATCATTCTGACTGCAGCCTTTTGTTGGGTAATTAGTGGTCTGAGATGGTTAACTGTTGTTGAGCCCCATGCACAAATTCCATAGGAGAGATAGGGGTAAATAAGAGAGTGATATAGGGCCAGGAGGGCTGACTGTGGAACATAGTACCGTATCTTCGATAGTATGCCTACGGTCTTGGAAATTTTCTTAAAAATTTGTTGTATATGTGTATGAAATTTTAGTCTATTATCAAGGTGGATTCCTAAGAATTTTCCCTCTGTTAGCTTTGTGATAGGTGATCCGTTTATCATTATGTTAAGAGGGACATCTGTAGCTCTGTTACCAAACTGAATGAAGTAGGTTTTGTCAATGTTTAGTGTAAGTTTGTTATTCGGTATTTACAGTATTGGCTAGCATGACTGGGCTCGGGTGAGAGAAGACGTATGTAGTGTCATCTGCAAATAGTGTGGGTTTGAGTAATTGCGAAGCATTTGGTAGGTCATTTATGTATAGGAGAAAGAGAAGAGGGCCAAGGACACTTCCCTGTGGGACACCAACTGTAATTGGTTGTGCGGAAGAGTTTGCCCCATTTGTGTACACGTAATGAAGATAACATCTTATTATCATACTAAAAAGACTATCTACTACACGAGGGTAATTAAGACTTTCTACAATACGAGGGTCATTACTAGGAATAAGGTAAAATTTACACGTATGTTAGCTAAAAAATAGAAAATCATTCCCCTCCCTTTCTGTAGCTACATTCATCAGCCACCTTTTGGCACTCTTCTTGAACTGGTTCATGCTATGACTGGCTTTGACATGTGCGGGCAGTCTGTTCCATCCCTTTATTGCTGTACAATAAAAGGTGTTTGAAGCCTGGCCAATGACTGTGGGTACTACAAAGTTGTGTTTTCCCCCCGTAGTACTATGATTGCTTTGGTTCCCAACCTTGACAAAATTGACAGCAAGATATTCTGGACACTGTTTGTGAGCAATTTTATAAACATGATTTAGCTTCAGTTGTTTTACTCTGTCTTCCAAACTTTCAAGTTTGTATATTCAACTCCAGCCTTAATATTATCCTTTGTACCAGTGTACCTCTGTACCTGTGTACCTGTCTACCATCTTACTATCATATTATAACCAAGTCATTGCCATTTTTATTTTTTATTTATTATTCCTTTGTACTTTATTTTGTCAATTTTATTTTGTCAATTTAAATCTAGTTATATTCTTGTTCTTGTTAACAACTTTATCAGACCTTAGTGCAATTGCAAGTACCATTTTATTTTGTATTTTTATAACTTTATACCTAGTTGTACTTTAGCTCATTCTAGCTCAATACACAGACAACACCAAATTCATTATATTAGACCTTAGTGCAATTACAAGAGTGAGTCTGGTGCCATTTGTAATTTTTTTTATAGTATTAGTTTATACCTAGTTGTACTTTAGCTCATTCTAGAACAACACATAGACAATATCAACTTCAATATGTTTATTAGTGACTATACTCTATATGACCAAAGTGTTTTAGCTATATACTTGTCCAAACCTCCCACCACTACAGAAATCAGTATTAGAACTCGCCACATAATACAGGATATAAATAACCACTATTTAAACCTAAAAGGTGAATGATCACGTTGACCCTGATCTAAACCTCCATAATCTAACACACAATCAAAATTTATTGGAAAGTAACTGCCTTTACTACACAGCATCACAAGCCAGCACTATCCTGAACACTGCTCAAAGTCTATCAGTTCTTAACTACATCAGGTCCTTAAGCCAACACTATGATGACCTCCTGGCACTCCTTGAGTCACTAAAGACACCCTTCTCCTGCATTATTCTTACTGAGACCTGGCTTAAGCAAGACACAATAGATATCTACCCACTACCAGGATACACAGCAATCCACAACTGCAGACCAAACCAAGTTGGGGGTGGTACTGTAATCTATTACTCTAACCAACTATCTTGTATTAGCACCAATTGCTTTAGTGATGAATATGGGGAATACATTTTTGCTAATTTTACTGTAAAAAACCTCACGACGCCTATAACAATCGGTGCCATTTATCGGATACCCCACACAAACATCCCAAACTTCAGTGAGAATCTCAAGGCACTAATAACAAACAGACAAATGAACAAGCACCACCTCTTAGCTGGAGACTTCAACATCAACCTTGGCCTACTAGATGATCAGACTGTAACTGATTTCATCAACAATATGAACAACACACTTCTCATACCAACAATAACTAAACCAACCAGGCTCACTGAGACAAGTGCAACCATAATAGACCACATATGGACCAATATACTAGCCCCCATTAAATCAGGGATAATCACAGACAGCACTACTGACCACTACCCACCCTTCCTCTTAACAAACATTAGTAAGCCACCACTCGAATACATCAAAGTTTCATTTAGACTCCATGACGAGGCCTCAATAAGGAATTTCACAGCAGACCTAGAGACTGTGACTGGCCTACTGAATTCTCCAATGCCCAAAGGTATTGGGCGATTGGACAGACATTTTTCTTAAAATACTTAGACTATACAACAAACATTGTCCCATAAAAACGAAACAGATCACGAATAAAAAGCTCA